TATTCTGACATTTTGAGATATGCAGTAAGATTCTCGTAACGTCGCTTTTTATCTAAATTGTAAGTGTACACAAGATGATACTAGTTGGAGAGTACATACAACGTCATTTGCATGTGAACCAAGGTACTTTTGTCTCATCTAGATCTATTAGAGAAATAAAAATTAAATGTAATGTATATTGATCAAACAAATCAATATCAAGTTACCAATAGGCAGACTTCATTGTTATTTTCTTTTTTCTTTTATTTTGTCCGTTGTTGAATAGTGATCTCCATATCTTATAGTAACATAATGAGCGGCTCTAAGTCATCTATTTCCATTGACCCCAGAATCTCAATTAAAGTCGTCCCTTTATCCAACAGAGATCCTTCTATTCTACGTTTGCTTGCATGAAGTCGGTATTCAAGCTTTTTTTCTCCATCGAACTGTATAAACTATTCATTGCCTTTACAGAGATTCTTCGTGTTATATTATTTTGCTTCGATTCTTTTGTGGTTATCTTCTTTTCGTATTCTATCATATCAAACGGGAATTGTTATTCTTATTGTAGAAAAAACAATTTCCTGACCAAGTAGACTGTGCAATATTTATGTAAAGGGGTTTGTGATGAGGTGAAAATATTGCCCATTAATTTATTCTCTACGGATGAATAGACTGATGTCCGACGCATGCGTACTGGACCATGTTAACTAACAAAGAGCTTGTTTATGGCATGAGCGAATATTATATCGCAATATCATATATTGGTGTTGAGAATAGTGTAACGGTAAATTTTGCTACATGCATAATATTAGGCACTTCATCAATAAACCATAGTCTGTATCGATAGAACATAATGAAAAGGTAACCAAGTTTAGTGAGAATATGTATGTCGATATGATACAAACAAAGGTAATTACATATTTTAAGCATAACAGAGCCTTACCATTAATAATAATAAATTAAACGAATGTTCATTAGTAAGTATGTATATATTAGCGAACAGGAATAGCTCAGCAATTTAACAGCGACATTTTTCTTATTTCAACAGACTGATTGCATTTGAATTTGCATTGACGACTTAAATTTCTTAGATAAAGACTAAATGTAACGTATTTAAAAGTTTAAGTTAGGAGTTTATATCTAACTGGCTGTAAAATAGGAACGATTTTAACATTTACGAATTTATTAAGAAAAGGTAAATTTTTTCTTCCTATCCTTATCCCAATTATTATTTGGGGTAGGCGTAATATGTTTTTATCCATATTACAAAAAGAGTTAGCTTTTAGTTTTACAACCGGCCGCCTGCCTGACGTCAACCTTCTTTGGGAAAAAAGAAACAAAAGGTCATTACCCAAAAAAAAAACGAATTTACAAAAATCTGGTTCAATGCCCATCACTGGCTAATCATCACTTCTTGCTAAATGTCAGGGACAGGGAAACGTGACCAGGGAAATGTCTGAAGAGACATTTCCCTGAGAAATGACTCGAGGAGACCGCCGATCCACTGGAACTGGATGGAAGGATACAGCAGTGAAATATTTGGTTAAGAGAAGGTTTCTGTCTTCAAACAATAGACAGCAGTAAAAAGAAGGACTTTCTCAATACGATTGTATTTTTTTATGTTTGTTACCTCATAACTGTCAATTGTAAATCGATTTGGAAAATTCTTTTTTAAATTTGAAGAACACATTTACGTATTAGTAGTCATAATAATATGAATTCCGATAAATCCGTATAATTTTCGTGAGAAATTAGTGTCTCCAGCCATTTTTACGTTATTAGAAGATTGCAGTATTTCATATTTTGAGAGTAAATTATTATCAGCGAACCTATGACCTAATTTAGATATAGCCTTTAGAGGTCATTGTATTGCATGACCATTAAATAATATCTGTTACATCTGTATTCTATTTAGATAGGTTGTCTATTATTATTATCTATTGCATGTAGACCCATAAACAACAGACGTGCTACAATATATTAGATAAATATATGTACTATGAATTACTATTGGTATACTCATATTTATTATACCATTTTGAAATGAGAACTTATGTGATTGTATTAAAATTGCTATAGCTATCGACGCAAAAAGAGGAGTTATGAGATTCAGTCTCTTATTCTATGCCTTTTCCTTTTTCCTCGATTACAACAATTACTGTGATGAGGATTCACTTATCTGTATATAGGGCAAATGTTTAAAAAGAACAAATGTTACATGATTATTGTACTTTAATAAATATAATATAATAAATAAAATTGTAACTAAACGATGTTTGTATAAGGAAGATATTTAAGAAAGTGATCTTAATAAGAGCGACAAAAACCAAAGCAATTCTAGAAATTTTGTCTATTTGCCCATTTGCCTGTTTATTTGTTCCGGCAACACACAAAAATTACTGCACCAAATTGGACGCGGTTTTCACATTCGTATTTCTAAGATCCTGAAGGTCTAACTTGAAATCTAGTATATGTTTTATCGTGATGCATAATCTAAAAAGTAGTTTATTTCAATGGCTTTTCTACTTCTGAAATCCACTCGTACAAAATAATAGGCCCTAAAGTAGTACTGAATAGAAATAAAAAGTGCAGTGTGTCAAAAAGTTTCTAAGGGAGGAAAACGTCCAAAGATTAGAATACCTACCTACATAACTTAAAATGTTAAATGACTTCAGAGCGGCTACACGTATTTAGCTAATATATTTCTTGTTATATCTATAATTTTCAGAACAAAGTCAGTATAAAAAAATATTCGAAAGATTATATGGGAAGGTTAAAATTTTGATTTAAAAATATCAAAAGTTTGGTCTTATTTTCTTAATTAGTACACTCGTGCGAAGCCGGAGCGTGCTTCAAGTAAAACATACATTTAAATATATGATATAAAAAAAAACTAACTAAAGTACTCGTATTGTATGTGGTAATATTAGCATAGAAGTTCCTTATAAATTGTAAGTGATCGTTACGACGAGATATCACGAAATTCCTACTAGAATCGGAATTAGTTAACTCCATGTCGACGAAGAACCGGAGAACATCAAGTCCTAGGATAAATCTAGAACATTTTTTATTACAATATGGACACAAAATATCTGACTTTGATAGTAAGTACTTCCGGGAATAATAGGAGATTATTATGTCCATTAATCGCAGTGTCTCAACATAAAAAACACCCGTATCCATCGTGCATGCGAAAGATTGATGAGTGAGGATAAAATGCTACGTTTTTAACGTACTGTGCCAAATTGAGGACGCTAGAACACTTTCTACAATCGCTCGGTTGTTTAAAAGAGTCGTATAAAACTTTTGTGAATACTTTCATATAATAATTATGGGATATCAGTTATAATTAAAAATTATAAAACGACAACCATTAGCGTGCTTATTTATTTATTTACAATAGTATCAACAGAATATTACTAAAAAATATTACTACATAATATATAATTTTAACTATTTCTGACTGATTATATAAAAAGTGAAAAATATTCACGACGTTGCCATATTTCGTTATAAAAGCACTTTAAACAAAATTATTAAAAATGTTAATTTAGGATATTATTTTAATATTATAAAACAAATAACATTTTAATGATGTATTCGGAACGGAAAGAATATAATATCAGGCGAAACTTTTTACCTATACCTACTCTCATGAGGATTGAATATCGAAAAATGTTATATTATATCAACTTTGAAACTTTGAATCCCGTTTCGTTTACTTTCAAAAAGAGAATATCCATTGTTCTATTGTAATGTCTGTAGGGGACGGTTACCACTTTTGAGCTGTGAGCTTGTTTGCCATTTGTACCTTGGTACCTAACGTCTACTGATCAATTCTCAATTGTGACTATACCTTTGAACATTGAAACTCTAGTTAGGATATTCGTAGTAATATGATCTAGTTACTGTCCATCTACAAAACCCATGTTTTATACTTTTGATAATAGATAGTTAAATATATAATATATTTGCATCACTTTCAGTACACAAATAACAACAGACACAGGTTAATATGAATAAAAGGAATAGAAAAAATGATCAAGCATAGTTGTAGCAATGATCTGTAAACAATGACTTTACAAAATTTTAATTTCCTTTATCCCTACCTCAAAGTCGTTACGTAAGACATTTTAAACTCCTCAGGAGCAATGTGTCATAAAATCGAGACAGTGTAACGCCTTCTAGCTACCGATTTTCAATAAACCACCTTACAAAGACACTAATGCTTGTTCATTTTGAAATATTACAGTCATCGTGCACTGGAGGACTAAAAATTTCTTGGATATTAAGATAAAATGTTTTATCGCATTACTTAATGTGCAGAAGAGATAGATAACCATAGGGACCTACAATGAAATTATATTATTTACAATAGAAAACATAGAGTCATAGTCTTTACGACTTATTATATATTCTTCATTTATTTATTTTAACACCGCAAATATATCAAGTCGATCCAATTTGAACACAAATCTAGTTTTAACTGTATTTTTATTTAGTGGAGAAATATATATAAAAAAAAAATCTTTGTATAGTAACAAATAACAAATACAACATACTATAGACATCTTGTCTTCCTTAACATTAGAAGGATTAGGACAATTTTATAACCTTATTGATACAATCATCATCACCTTAGTCTTTATTTGTCTACTGCTGAGCATAGACCTCCCTTATGCATTGCTATAAGGAACAGCTCTGAGCTACCTGCATCGACTAACTCCTTGCAATGCATTTGAGGTCGTCACTCTATCTAGTGGGACAGAGGTCGCCCTACACTGCATTTGCCTATACAGGGTCGCTACTCAAGAACCTTTCTTCCTCACCGGTTGTCGGTTCTTCGAGTTATTTGACCAGTCTATTGGCTCTTCTGTTTGTTTATCCTTCGGGCTATGTTAGTGACTTTGTTTCTTTTGCGAATATTCAAAAGAATCAAATACATTATACAACGATATACTAAAATCCTTATGTTAAATAACACAAACATCTAATTCTTGGTTATTTTCTTGTTACAGCTGTGTCCGTGGTGATTATCTAAAGGTGTATTGGGAAGTGCAGGGCCCGGGGCCACCTGGCGCTATCAATGAGCGCTCAGCTTGGGCCAAGGAGTTGTGTGGTAGCAGAACTGACGCACCGCCGGCCCTGTACTCGCCAGGGCCGGCGATGGTGCTCGAGTTCCATACTGGCCTGAAGCAAAACAACGCGACGGGCTTCGTGGGCACATATAACTTTATTGATAGACGTAAGTACTGACTTTTGTATGTATCTAAATTGATTGAATAAAAATTTATGAATGACACTTTAAATTAGAGATCAAGATAAGTCAGTTTAAGAACCATCTTTTAAGTCGGTTGAAAGCTATATACATACATACATACATATCTGTCACGCCTGTCTCCCATTAGGGTAGGCAGAAACAATGGAACGCCAAATGCTTCGATTCAAACAAACCTCTTTCGCTTCTTCCACATTCATCAATCTTTTCATACACGCTATATAAATATGTAAATACAATTATTGATCATAGGTTAAGTTCTAGTATATTGTATTAAAAAGTATCTCTTTAACCAGTTACATAAGTGCTATATAAAATTAAAAATAATAGTTATACCTAAACTGTATTGTAGTATGTAATACAGTAATTGGCGTCATTTCCCATCACGTAAATTTCATAAATTATCAATAAATTAAAAAAAAAGGATTCCAATTGTGGCAAAATTAATTTTTATTTAAAAACTAAATTACTAAATTGATTTTGATAAAATTTTTACGAGACCACGTTATATTCTTTCAGTTAAAAAAAATATTTACTATATTGGTTTATAACTGAAGGAGAGTTATAAGGTAACAAACGTAAAAAAATACAACTGAATTGAGAACCTTCTTTTTGAAGTCGGTTAAAAATACACTCGTGTCGTCCAACAGAATTGTCGTTTGACCTACCCACTCGTTCACTCAAGAAATCGCATCGTCGTCGAATCGTGTCGTGTTCCATTACTTATCCCGATCTTGAAAGGGCTTCACGTGAGCCGAATATACTAAATTTTGGCCCCGCCAACGTATTATGTTATATCAATAGAGATGGACATATTTTATGCTAAAAAATGAGTGTGTATGCATGTAAACCCTTCGTGAAAAACGTGAGGTGAATTTATAAGCGGACCAAATATTAAATGGACAGAAGTGATTCTATGTAAAATTCTTTAGTAGTGAAATGTACATAATAAAATCTACAGAATTATTAAACAATTTGTTTATTTAAGGATAGCCAACAAAGCATACACTTGTATCAACTTAAAACAAATGCCAGCTTGTACAACTCGCTGTCAGTAGAACTGGTTTGAGATAAAAAGTCATACGCAAATAATTATCAATTCTGTGAATACATATCCATATATTTGTCTCACAAACTGAATGTATATAATTTTTATCATTATTCCTTGGTCTTTTTTTATTTATTTAGGATAGATATAGTACCTATTCCACAATATATCATTTTCATCCTTCGTAATATAAATATTAATTTATTAATATAAATTTTTTTGTGTAGATATTTCAGTAATTCTGAGTATGAATATTTCGCAAGGGTTCATATTGTTTGTTTTTAATAACACAAAATGCTAATTTAAAGTACTTACTATCCTGAAATTAGTGTTAGTAAGCAATACAGAGATTGATCCACTGAGTAAATAGATTTTTTTTACGCATCTTAGAATGGCAAACAAGCTGACGGCCCACCTGATGGAAAGTGGTAACCGTCGCCTATAGACATGAGCAGTACCATGGTCATAACAGAGTATACTATTTCCCCATGCGTTGCCATTCCTGAAGACTCAGATGTTATTCCTCTGTACCCTGTAAATTCACCCTTTAAACTGAAACACAGTCATGCAAACATAACTGCTTCACGGTAGAAACACAAATGAGACAGAGGTGCCCAAACAAACGACTTTTGTACATAGTCTCTCTCTGATATAGATACGCAATAGTAATAATGTTTTTATTGGATTTTATATCTTAGATGTCTTTTATATAATATAAAGAGATCACAGATTCTAAAGTCTTCGTTCATAACAGTTGTACGTACCTACATAGATAAATATAGAAGACATTTATTAATATTACAACGTTCTATTTAAATTTGCAAAAGACATCGCTCTACTGAATTTGAGCTATAAGACTGAGATTATAATAGGCAGTAGTCTTTGTACAATACCAGAGTTCTAAATCATAGAAATAGTTACCGCTTTTGAACGGACGCCCGAGCTCGTTCTATTAAATCGGCTCTAAAATCGGATTCCGAAGAGATTTGCCTCATCAGAACTATTTCACATAGGTACTGATACAAATTGGTCCTTTTGTGTCAATCTAATGCTTGGAAACAACCCAGATTACGGTCACTACCGTATATCGATATATAAAAGCATGTCCGATTTCAATGAAATATTGTTGATATGTATAATTGATTCCCACTTAAAATATATGATGCTATTTATAACTCATCGCGGCTTACAAGTGGTATCCTGTATTTTAAGCCAGCGTAAACCAGTACAGGAAGTATCCTACGAGGTAAGTTACAATATAAACTGACCGTGTATTACATTTCACTCAAATCTATTCAGTAGCGTCTGCTTGAAATAATAACAAATATCTATTAAACCATCCTTACAAACTTTTATATTAGGTAATAATAGATAAATACTATTTTGGAACCGTTAAATGGCGCTGTCGAAATCTTGCAGTAATACGTAGTCAGAGTGGTTTGGTAGTTTGTTATAAATTTGTATTAAGCTGTGAACAGCGTTATATATATTTTTGCTGTCTTAGGTAGGTGACAAATTGATCGATCGATAGCTCTGTTTTCGATAGCATGAACATAGAACAAGATATTGCTTCCTTATTTTATCTTACGCACACGGTATCGATAACAATAGCAAAAATGTATTAATTAATTCGTTTGTTATTTATTTGATTACATAAAGAAACCACTTTCTTATTTAGGCCCTGGAAGACGTTTCTTCTTTTTCGTATCTGTGTGGGATTCTTTATTTCTTCTTATTATCCAAATGCCTTTTGCCTTTTATTGCCAGAGAAATTTAATCATAAAATCTAGTTCAGACTGCTATTGTAATTTAGTTGAGTATTAAGTAATGTAAAAGTTAACGATATTCAAATAATAAAATTAGTCGATTACTCTCGAATATAATATTTTTATCAAATTATTTGGACCTAAACTTAATTAATAGAAGAATTTCCAATTTCTTAGCATCAAATACGAGAACTAAAAATAGAATACTTTTAATAACCCGCCTTATGCGTGCAAAATTTTGTACTGATAAAAATATAGTTTTATATAATAATACAATCAATTAATTAATTTAGAACTGCGATGCTGAAGAATAAATAAAATAATAATAATAAAGCAATATAACTTTGCAACACAGACTGTTACTACTTATCAAAAATATAATGGAATTTAAATCAATTGGGATTTGACAGAACTCCGTTGAAGTACCTATTCTAATAGCTTCCTCTTGTTACTGCTATTCTGCATGTTACTATAACTATAATCCAATATTTTTTTATTCTATTATTTTATTTTTATATTACCATCTATTATTTCATTCTTCAGATTATTATGTATCTACTAGACAAGTTTAACTATACTTCTATACCCTAAAATTATCTAGAAGGGTTCGTTATTCACTACCAATTCATTGTTGCCTTTATATCTTATTTCAATAATGCTGTTTATTTTCTATATGCCTATTAAATGTAACTCGGATAGAGTATACGTAAACAATAAAGGTTTTCCTTTATTTTCCATGTTATTATGTAAAACAGAGTATTTCACGACTCGTGTTAAGTTTGTTGGTGGAATGACGTAGATTTGCCATATTACCATGACGTACTAAATAGCCACACAAATTGTGCACCGTACACGCCGCTCACTCATAACATTTACATATGTATGCTACAGAAAAAGATAAATGAGAAATTCTCCGTAGATAAGCAGGAAAAGTGGCACTTTCATCAAGTAAATTACTAATAATAGTTTTATGTGGAAGTATAGGTATATCTATCATCTTTATTAATTTATGCTATAAGGATGGTAGTTGTGGAGACGAATAAATACTCCTAAGTTCGAATATAGAATGCTACGAGCATTGCATAAATAATATATTTCATAAATAGCTATTCGGTTCGGTGTTATAAATATTCCATTTTTTAGGTGTGTCTTATAAATATTTCATTTTTTAGGTATTCGTTTCGGTACAGACTTTGCTAACACCTAAGAATTTATTATTGACATTTATTGTAAAATGGATCCAAAAATATTTTGTGATTTTAAACATAAAGGGTTCCTTCCAGAGAACTAGTGTTAGTCTTATTACATTATAATTCCACACTAATAAATTAATTCTATTATTATATTCTGTTATTGTTTATATCTATAATAATAGTTTACTACTATTTTACCTTTTGCAGAAAACAATGAAAAGTAAGCAAAATCTTTGTCTATCTATCTGTCTATTTTAATCCCAAGATTATCTCTCGTGTTCTTTCGACTAAAAATGTTTGATTACTTTTTTTTTATAATAGCGTGACATGTGACTACACAATCCTGAGCAAACACAGGGACGATAAAATGGTCTATGAATGCAATCAACTGAAAAGAGAATGTCCTATTCTCAGCGGTTGGCCGCACTATATAAACTCAATAAGTGCTTTTTCATGCTAAGTTTGAAGTAAGATTATAGCACGAAAGGAACATTACGGAAAAGGCCATTTCATAATGTTATAGTACGGTTCGCGTAAGAGTTCGCAAACTTATTAGTACGCGAACACGGACGCTCTATGTAGTGATGCTGCTGCTGACCTATCCTCGGACACGACTCCAGAAAGGAGAAAGTGGAATAAGGGAATGTAGTAATTCTGAGTACTTCCTATGGAATAGGTGATAGAAGTCATTGAACGACACTAATCATCATCATCATATCAGCCTTTAACTGTCCTTTACTGAACATAAACCTCTCCCTTATGGGGTTTTCCAGTAGTTGCCATGCTTGGCAGCTGGATCGGCAACCTAACATTAGGATGTTATAACATCTGTAAAGCCTAACTGCAGTTGCCAATTACTAACTGAAAGACGCTGCTGCCCATCCCTCGCCCTCTCTTATTCGCGTCTTACGACACCCACGCAAGAGGTGGCCTATTCTATGCCGGAATCACACGGAACGACGCTAATGTCGTAATTGTGGAGGTTCCAGAGTATATTTACACGTATATTATGTATTTGTACTATCTTGTTTGCGTGAAAGTTTACGATAGTTTAGTTTTTATTGCTTTTGATTACGATATTTCTCTATATACTGTTAAAAAAAACGAATGCAAGGTTGTATTTTTGTATGTGGCAACGTTATTCTATTTCCCGCGTTTTTTGCTGCTTCTGTCTTTGGTATCCTTTTTTTTGCGTGTATTCCTATCAATGCACTATAAATATTGTGTACAAACATAAACACTGTTTAAGTATCAAAATATACTGTTTATTATTATTATTTAGCAATTTCACTCCAATATTAGTACAGTCAGTATAAATTCGATTAACTTTCATTCGATTCCGCTAATAATGAGTTGACTCCATACCACGGCACGCTCGCCTCTGAAATATGAGTACAAACACTACGTAGGTAGATGTGATAATATGTTTAAGAAACAGGATATTGAATACCAAGTGGCGTTATTTACATTACCGTATTTTTAACATCACAATTCGTAAATCTATTTTCAAAAAACATAAATGTCTCTGAAGGCAAATTCGTCCGTGTGACCGGTATATTCTTTTTTATGGAGGATAGTCAAAATGACCACACCTTACCTGATGGTAAACAGGTAATGCGGTCTAAATGTGAGGGTCGCTATCACAGCAATTTATACTATGTTGGTGATCGTCATCTTGTAACCTACGAATACAATTCTTTATACCCCGCTTAAACGCCGTGGGATTATAGGTAGAAGGAGACACGTGACCAGGAAGAGAATTTCAAAGTATATTAATATATTGATTTTAATGTAATAACTATTGAGCACGAGCTGAGTAGGCTGAGGCTCAATGGGTCGAGGCGCGCAGTCAGGCTTGCACTCACGTGCAATTCACTCAAGATTATTCTTCTTTTTATTTAAGAGTTCCATCTTGTCGGTGCAACTAATTCATGTATCTTCCTCCAGCCAGTTCTATCCCAGGCCATATCCTTGACCTCCCTTACGACATGGCACCTAGTGTTTATCTGTAGTTAGTCTCTTGTAGTTATTCCTTGGTCTTCCTCTTTTGCCCTCTATTTTTCCCTCTATTATGCTCTTAAAAAATCGTCATGTCGTATAAGGTGGCCCAGCATTTTGCCTCTTCTATTCTCTTTAATTAATGTTCTTTTCTCGTTCACTCTTTTCAGGACTTCCTCATTCGTAAGTTTTTCTGTCCAGCTTATCTACTCAATATTAAGGTTCCTAAATGATCTCGAAATTAGTTGAGCTTTCTCGACTATATTACATGTAAGTTAAACCAATAGATGTTACATTAAAATACATATAATGTGTACTTACGAATCTTTCAACATTATATTGATTGATAAAAAAAAATTTCCTTCTAAGCCTATGTCCATCCCAAGAAGTATTACAAGTATAATAAATTTCATAAACTATCCTATTCTATTACTTTGTTAAGATATTTTTTTGTTCCGGTAAATCAATACCAACACGCGGCCAAAGTCGCGGGTAAAACATAAAGTATAAAATATATTGTTTCTCGATAAAATAGGTATTATTTATGTCAGTTGCCTATCTCCTGTGACGGAAGATGAACGTGAAGCCAGAAAATGCTCAAACGGGATATAGTAGGCTTCAGCGGACTGGCTTATCGTGGATTACATGCATATTGAATAATACTTCTTGCTCGTAGCTTGACCTAAATATTTATAAACATCCTATACGGTTTTATTTCGCTTAATACAACACGAATAGAATAAAATTACAGTATCATTCAATTTTATTTCATGTTAGCAATAACATGGAGTTTTACCCGTGTAGATTTGGTTAAAAATATCTAAAATTCAAAACAACTTGAATTAATTTATACTCAGGAAATAGTCTATGTATCAAATTCTATTAAAATCTATTCAGCCAATTAATTTTAAATAAAAACTACCCAAAAATCCTAAGCTATTTTCGCATTCATAGTATAAACACAGTATAAAAACTAGTAGAATGATAGAAAAAATATTAATTCTATTAACCTACGGTAGCCGAGGGATGGGCAGCAGCGTCCCTCTTAAAACATAATCAAAGCCTAACTTCGGTTTCCAACCTGGCTGCCAAGCGTGGCATATACTGGCAAAACCCCCCTTTATGGGGGAGGCCTGACTAATATGATGATGATGGTGGAATTAGCTGTTTTGCTTTTATGTGAAAACTGTCAAAACTTTTTTGCCTTAAGTATTGCCACTTACTGATTTTTTTTTTCATATTGATGAATGTCTAATAAAAAATGCCATTAATATAGCATTAAGCTTAACATTTATACATATTTTACAATGCAGTGTATAACTTACATACATAATGTACAATGTAATACATACATAATACTGTAAGATTTATTTTCTCAACTAATATTATAAGGAGGAAAGATATGTTTTTTTTGTTTGTTAAGAATAATCACCAAAGCCTAACTGCGGTTAGGCTCGGCCCCTTTTGGGAAAGGTCTATGTCCAGCAGAGGACAGTTAAAGGCTGATATAATAATAATGGATAAACTCTAAAAGTACTTAATCGATATTAAATTTTTTTTCACCTATACAAAGCTGCATTATCAGCTGAAGGTTATTTAGTTTTCTCATAGGTCATTGCTATAGATAAACCTCATTTTTTTTATGCAACTTAGAAAGTCAAACAAGCCGACGGCTCACCAGATGGAGCGGTGACCTTAACCTATAGATACGAGCAGTACTATGGACATAACAGAATATACTGTTTCGACCATAATAGCCTCCATGCGTTGCCATTCTTAAGGACTCATGTGTTATTCCTCTGTACCCTGTAAATTCACTGCCATACTCTTCAACCGAAACACAGCCATGCAACCACAACTGCTTCACTGTAGAAACACGAATGGGACAGAGGTGCCCAAGTAAACGACTTTTGTACAAAGCCTCCCTCTGGTTGCTAGTTGCTAGTACGTAATTTATTAATATAATAAAAGCAAAAGTTTGTAATGGAGAATGGGTAGATAGATATTTGTTTTTCCTTCACGCAAAAACTATTCAAAGGATTTGAATAGAATTTGCTACACGAGTAAGTTATATCCTAACTTAGTACACAGGATACTTTATGTACTGATTCATGCGGGCGGAGCTGCGGGATACAGATAGTTTTATATAAGATTATTTTATATGCATACTGTTTTAAAACTCGCAAATATATGAATTTGTCTTTTGGATTTCATGAAACATTAACCAAGTGGCACTGGTGTAAATCTGAGAAAAGCCTCGCAGACGGTCGAGTCGAGACTCAAATAGGATCAGGTCAGGCTTTGTAGAGGGGCTTATCGGCCACCTGCTTCTATGCATATTAAAGCCAACAGTCCCACAAGTTGGCGGCCAGAGGGAATATTCTATTAGGTGTGAAAGAAACTTACTCTCTAAGTACTATAAAGAGTTCTGTCACTTATTTAACAAAAAAAAAGGCGCGGGATACAGTGACACAGCAACAATAGATTTATTTTTTAATAAAATTTATTTATTTAAATTTATTTAAATAACTTTATTGACCAAAATAAATTATGGTACAAAAGATGGACATAATGCTAGTAACATTCACTACCTTTGGGGTGAACAGTGAATCACAAACGCGGTACTTCATTATTATATTAAAAAACATGGATTTAAATAGATGTGGTAACTGTGTCAAGGTTTATTAAAGTTTAATAAAAAAAATAATAACATTTTTGATTATGTATCAGTGGAACATAATATACCTATAGTTCTCGCAATATCAACAACTTATATAATTACTTAATTATTATTTGTGTCGATTATTTTGATAATATTAAATGTCACTGTGCCTATTGATAGAGTAAGAATATTTATCTGAGGTTAAAGTTGACGGTCTTTTAATTTTTGTTTCGATTACTTATTATAATTTTGATAATATTAAATGTCACTGTGCCTATTGATAGAGTAGGAACATTTATCTAAGGTTAAAGTTGACAGTCTTGAGAACTTTTATCAGTTTTGATAAAATTCTACTTCATTTGTCCCATTTATTTGTTATTTATAATTTCCACAAACTTTAAAAAGAAGAAGATATTTAATTCAGTTGTATTTTGTTAAATATTGATTACTCCATAACTCCGTCAGTTTTAAACCGTTTTGTAAAGTTACTTTTTATCTGAAAGAATATACTTGCAGATTGGTCGAGTACAAATTGTACCAAAATTGATTTAGTGGTTAATTTTTTAACCAAAGTACCTGGTTTAACCACAAACAAAATCGGTCTTTTTCATGGAACACAGTCTTAATGATTAAATAAAACTTAATTGTTGTTTGTATGCTATATATATGCATATATGTAAAAAACACATTACTTTGTCAATAATTTTTCCGACTGTGTAGTGATTTTGAATATCTTTTTACTATCATTTTTTTTTTCTGCAAAATAATATTTCAAAAAAACTATTCCGAATATCACTAAATATACGAGTATAGGAATCACACTGATATCTTTCATATAAATCAGAATACTTAATACATAGTATTAAAAGAAGGTATTTAATTGATACTTTTATAATTGTGACTTGATTTTAATAAATTCAAATTATTACATAAATTTATTGCATCATTTTCACTTTTGAAATAGTAACTGATAATTGTAGTGGCAGTTTTCCAGAAGAATACTTCTAGTCTCTATTTTACTTTGGCGCTTCTTTCTTCTCTGTGTTTAACTGAAAATAATACATAATATATAAAGTTAATAAGTACTTTAAGGTCATATAGTGATTGCACTTAATAAAAATTTTGTCATTAAGGGAAACCTTTTACAAAATTCGTAGCCGGGAGCAATATTGTATGATCGATATTAGCAGTAAGTTATAAACTGTATTGAAAACTTAATTAAAAATAAAAATGCAGTCATCAAGTAAATATTTCAACAACTCAAGCTTCTTTTTTTATTTAAGAGTTTAAATTCATTCAACTTACGTTATGGGTTTAGAATTAAGAAAAAATAAAAAAATACGATCATATATTATGGTTTAGTGTGACAAGTGGGATACGGCAAATAAAATGTAGAGTACGAAGGCATGACATCTTATTTCTAAGTAATAACAATAGATAAGGGCTATCATAGTGTGTTCTCTGATATCTATGCTAAGGGTAATGTTCATAAATTATTCTTATCCATGTAAAGATAACCTGATAAAGATTATTCTTTGTACTTTTAGTTAAAATTTATACTTTTTTTTAATTACTTAAATAATGACAAGAAATGAAACGCAAGCGAAGAGACAACCTTATGGGTTATCTAACCAAGTGACGCAGAACTACTAGTAGGGCAGACCCCAAATAAACTGGAAAAATAGCAAGGAGAAAGAAGAACAAGAAGAAAAGGTACTTACTATCTTTCCCAAGCTTTCGATAAAGTTGTTCACTTCCGACTTTATTTTATCCGAGTCAAAGGCATTTTGCACCTGTGTATTGAAATTTTTGGTGTACTCTTCAAGCTGCTGCTGAATGTTCTTCAGGTAGTCGGGTGTCGATTCAGTTTCACGCTTCACAAATGCGTGTACCTGTATAATATGTAGTTTTCTATTAGTCAATGATAAAAAAATGAATAAAAAAGCGCTATAGATGTATGTATAAATAAATAACGTTAATAAATAAATAAATTTATATTCCTAAAATATTCGAAAATGCAACCTAGAGATAACGCTATTTAGTACCACTATAATATTTGCATACACTTTCCCGTAAATGATGTACCCGTTTTACACGAATTATAATAGGATTCATCTCGCATAACCCTCCGATGCAACTATGCTAGCAACTGAATATTACACTCTCATAGCGAGAAGTATATTAAACTTGGCGGATTATGCAAAATTAATACTGTTATGATACATGTAAAACAGATTTTTAACTCCCATATCTGTAAAGCTTTAGATTCCTAAACTACAACTTAAAAAAGATTTCTCTTCTACTTTGTAAATGCATCAATGACAAAATAATGCAATTGCATGAGAAATAGAATTATATAAAGCTTTATACTAAACTACCCGTTCCTCGTGAAATGACTAATATTCTCCATTTGAAAAGGAAGTTCCAAACAGTAGAATATTAATATATAGTTCTAATTGACATTCTACATTTTCCTTTAAAATTTTATGAAGATAAAACTTTAGTTACAAAATCTAGTATATTATCACATACAAATAGACATACACGATATAGATAACGCAATTCTAAGCGTTTCGTTTCCGCAATTACAAAATCACACTAAATCATATTGAAGAAATATGAAACATAATGGGAGATATTTAAGAAAAAATTATATGAGTGTCTTAATAAAATCAATAGATGCCAAATTTTTTACCAGAGGGAGACTTTGTACAATAATCGTTTGCTTGGACACCTCTGTCCCATTCGTGTTTCTACCGTGAAGCAGTTGTGTTTTCATGGCTGTGTTTCGGTTTGAGGGGTGGGATATGGCAGTGAATTTACAGGGTACAGAGGAATAACACCTGAGTCCTCATAAATGGCAACGCGTGGGGGCAACATGGGCGAAACAGTATACTCTGTTATGTCCATGGTATTGTTCATGTCTATAGGTGACGGTTACCATTTTCCATCTAGTGAGCAGTCGGCTTGTTTGCTATTCTAAGTTACATAAAAAAAAACTGTAGAAATTTTGTCTTTGTTCAAATCTTTGTTCGGGAATTACCCAAAAACTACTGCAGCAAATTAGATGCGGTTCTTACAGTCTTATTAAATCCAATTAAACTAATTAAATTCTAACTTAAAATCTGGTATATGTTTTATCTAGACACAATATTTAGAAGTGATATATATTATTGGTTTTCTTCTTCCATATGTACGAAGTAGCAGACAAAATCCTAGTACCTAATATACCCTGATAATATATTTATTGTTGAGAATCAAACATGCTATTATCTATATTTATAGCAAAATTATTTAAAAAATAAAATAAATGAACACAAAATTAAAATAAGATCAAGCAATAAGTAACCTTTACCATCTACAAAGGGATTCTTAAAATTCATTCAGAGTCGATGAAAGCGTTGGGTAAAATGCGCGAAAAAAAACCAGTCGGATTGAGAAATTCTTAGTCTTCGAGGTATCTTATAAATATAACGATTTCCAATACTCACACTGACAAGGCACACAGCCAAGAGAACAATCAATAGCTTGTTCATGTTTATTCCTTAGTTGCTTTGCTTCACAAGTGAACGAGACGGGATCGGGCGATATACTAAACTCTCGCACCACCGTTACTCTTTATCTATACCCTGGACGAGAGTCAGGTCATATTTGTTTTCTTATCAGCGATTCCGGGTTGCTTGTTAGGAGATCTAATTAATTAATGACTCTGCAATCAACATTTATCAAGTCCATTTCATCCGCTGAACTATTATTTCATTACAATCTAACGGTTATGCATTTAAACTATGTTTGTCTCATGTATTCGTCTGTTAAGTATCTACGTGAATTAGTTAATATTAATTGTATATAATTAGGTATATTTACTTTTCCTCGTAATGTTATTTGTAATGAAAGTGGTGGTTTTAATACGTGGATGTCACAGTATATTTATGGTATGATGCTTATGGTATTACTTCCAATGTTATTTCCAATTATATTTACTAGAAATCCGGCCCAACTTTGCATGAATAACTTACAATACTCGCAAATTATGTACTGCTCATGTCTAAAGGCAACGGTTACCACTTTCCATCAGGTGGGCCGTCAGCTTGTTTGCCATTCTAAGTTGTATAAAAAAAAAGGTTTCTGGATGTGGGAGAACTTTTAAAATCGATTTAGTAGTTTTTGAGTTTATTCATTAAAAACAAACAAACAATATTCCCTCTTTATATAATTACAGTTTATTTTATGTTATGTTTAGAATATTGTTAGGAACGTTAACTACCTATTTATCTCATATTGATTTTGTAACACTTGTTGCAATATGTTCTTTGTTAAGATACATGATTCTGCATTTTAAATTCAAATATCTTCAATACGAAACAGCTCATCGCTTATCAGTGTTTAGGTCAAGATTAAAGTCACTATTTATTGTGAAGCAAAATACACTTATTTCATTTGTACTGCATATCCTATACGTTCACGAATTTTTAAAAAATATCGGAGTTGAAAGTTTATTATAATATTATAAAAAAATTAAAACTTTAAATATTAATTATAATTCATATTTAAAGTTTTAACATTTTTATAGTCGTCGTATAATCTTCTGTAGTCTATACTATATATATATATATGTAGGTACTAATTTAGTAAGAATATAGTAACTGTTATCTGCTGTAAAGATAGCACAAGAAAGAATTGTATGATATATACCATAACAATTATACATAATAAATAATAATAACAATAACCTGTATCGAGCATACAGTCAATTAGTCAATGTTTACAAATTACTGAAACAAATAAATAGAGAGCATTTATACAAAGACAAAGTAAATTGATATCTAATATTTAAAAATAATTCGTCAACCATTTTTATGGATTTTTTTTTTAATATTGAACACTCTATATACTAAAATCCTAAAATCTGTATCTATTAATACAACCCTACTTTTTAAAAGAATAAAACACCGGCAAAGTAAAGACTTAATAGTCTCGTATTAATCAATTAATCTATTATATATCTATCACATATCATATCATATAATTAATCTAATTTATTTGTATAAAATTAATCATTTATGTAAAAAATTATGAATAAATTATCTTTATCTAACTTAAATGCAATAAATAAAGCTAGGGACCATCACTGTCTGTTTTCACCATTCGCTAACTTTGAAATATTGCTTGAAATGTAATATGCAGGTTTTATAATAGAATAAAAATCAAATTCAATCCATAAACTTTTAAACATAAAACCATAAGGTGACTGCAACATTGCCATATTAGATAAGGCTTTTACATCTCTACAATATTTGCGTGATAAAGACGATCGCTTGGTTTTTTCTTTTGAAGAATGGAGAAGAATTAGTAATCTGACCTATGCTAATGTATATACGAGTATGATATATGTATATATAGTGGCATCAGGTTATTGGGCCCATCGTGATAATGTACTAGAAACTAACCACGATTATTTCCTATAGTATCGAGTGAAGTCGACTTGATAAGATTTTTTTTTTGGAAAGGGATTATTATTGAAAAGGGAATAGTAACATTGCCTGCGTTTTTGTAATATACTGGCGAAGCAGTAATGAGAGATGATAGGTGATGATGCATGCAGGTCAATTGGCTCATTATTACGAAGCCGACAAGAATTAACCACGATGATCTCCAGAGGAACCACGTGGAGGTCGACCTGATTGAGTACACAGTTATGGAACTGTTAAAGTTTATTACTATCAATCCTTTTCTCCCCGACAACCCTGTATAACCCATACGAGTATTGCTGATTTTGAAGACCATTACTAACAATCCCTCCCCCTGAAGACGTTTGCTTGTAGATCACTATTTACTTAGGACAAAACATTCTATTATATATATATATATATATACTTTAAATAGGGTTTCGCAAACGAATTGTTAGTACTGAAGGTCCAATTTTAAGTGTTTGTTTGCCCACTCTTGGGATCAGGATGTTTGGAAAAAGTTACAATACGACAATACATGGACGTGGACATTCTTTTCCTAAAAATTGCACTATTTTCCTTGACGTCATCTTTTTTTTTACTGAAATTGAAACTGCTTCTTTGTATGTGTATGTTTATATTACATATTTTAGAAAACAAATTCATTATAAAAGACAAAAATTAAAAAGGCAAAATAATATTTAATATAATTTATTTACGGGTAATATATTATGTAATATCTAATCTGAACGTGTTATTATTATTTTTCAAACATTTTTTTGCTGTACGATTTTTCATATTGCCGAAATTCAGACTGCTGTATGTTGGTTTAAAATTAAATATAGCGAGTGGTTTCATATAAATTGAAATTAATTATATTTAAAATAAAATTGTAATTTTAACTGTTTATTAAGTACAAAACAAGTCTCCAAGTTCAGAAAATTGGTTAATTTTCCTCTATACAATGATTATAATAAGCGTCAATATTATTGTTTACCTAAAATACATTTAATAGTTTGTACTTTATTAATTAATTTGTGTTTGTTGTTGTCGGAGTATTTGTAGCGGTGAGGTCTTGAAACTGAAATAAAATACATTACATTTAAATATTAATAATTATTTGACAACTACATTAAAATATTTCTATTATATTTGAATTTATTCTATGTATATATTATCTGCACATACAGTTACACAGTAATGAATAAATGTATATTTAATTTATGGTATAACAATGCTCGAATCTCTTTTTTTTTAAACTGGTCATTTAAAAATAGAGGAGTAGGAAAAAATATACAATTTGGCATTATATGAGTTTAGATAAAAAGTTTTACGAAAATCTTGAAAAATATGATATAAGTGACTTGTGTAACTAAGAGAGTCTTTACTACTAATTAATTTTGTTTTAATGTTTCTATTTTTTGACACTAATCGACTTAAAATAAAAACACAGTTATTCATAATAGATATGATAGTGAAATTATAAGGCATGGCAACGTTTGAGGGACACCATGGGTTTCTAATCGCCTCGGTGCCGTTCGTGTATCAAAATTAGATTAGGAATGTTGCCTTTTTCTTCGTTTTTTCTATGAATGAAGATGAAATTGTACATGCATGTTCTCCTACCACTTTTTTCTTACATCCAAGTTATGGTATATATATAAAGATATCCTTACCGCTTTAGAAAATCGATTTACTTGATCACCAATCACATTTAATATCGGCTGTAATTGCTCCGTACTAATTTGATTCACCGAATTAGCCAGAGCCAGGTCTACACATTTCTTAAACTCCTCCACGTTTTTCTGCATCGATTGTAAAACATTTGGTTGTGGAGTCGATACATCTCTCTTAACGAAGGCTGCCGTCTGAAAAAAAAATATAAACAACTAGCTTCTACCCTGAACTAGCCCGCCTGACTTGGACATTTTGATTGACTGGGATAAAAATGGCCTATGTCCTTCTCCATCCCATATTGTACGCGTCCACCAAATTTCATAGGGATAAACATTTAATGCGCTAAAAGGTATCAAATAAACAAACTCACTTTTACATTTATAACTGTATCCAGCAACTCCGTCCATATATATCAGTATATAAGGTATTCTAAATGGTATGTTGAGATATAACACCCGTGTACCAAATTTCATTTAAATCCGTTCGTAGTTTTTGCATGAAAAAGTAACAAATATCCATCCATCATTGCAAACTTTTACATTTATAATATTAGTAGAATATTAATAATTAATAAGGGTAGTTTCTACCCTAGATTTCATGCGCGTGGTCAGAATAAGTGAATAATGATAAGTAAATTCAAAAAATACCTAATGTCTACGTCCTTCTCCATTTCTAACTACGTGTACACCAAATTTAATGATGGTTAGTTAAGTTACGAGGGCTGCCTTTTAAGTTGTGTCGTTTGAAATAAATATAGACAATGACACCTTTGAATAGAAGATACAATAAAACTATTCGACTAATCTGAAAACATTCTTTTGTTTTCGAATTCTAAATTCAAAAACATGAAAATTCCAATTTTTTTTTTAATCGCGGGATGTTGGCAAACGACACGACTTAAAAGGCAGCCCTAGTATTAAGGCGCAAAGATATAATAAACAAAGAACTTACTTTCACGTTTATTATATTAGTAATGGCATAACGACACTAGAGGTAGACTTTGTACAACAGTGATGTGCTTGAGTATTTCTATTCTACTTGTTTAGCTACCAAGTATTTGCGCTTGTTAGTTTGGAGGATAACATGCCAGTACGATTACAAAATATATTCATCTTAGACCTCAAGAATGACAACGTATAACGGTACTACAGGTGTCTGTGTAATTTCTGTTATATCCATAGCAGGTACTATTCAAGTTTATAGACGACAGTTACCACTTTTCATCAAATAGGCCGTTAGCTTCTTTTTCATTCTGAATCGTATTAAATATTATTTTGTATAATATTTTAAAATCGATTTACATTTTATTCTTAACTCATTATGAAGGCAAATTCATATTTAATCAATGTATTTTTTTTTCTTTTTAAATAAAGGAATGTAGTGTACAGTTCTTTTTCTTGAATTAAAAAGAAATAAATAAGTTATCAGTTTAATGCTCCGAATTGTATTTCTCATTTGTAATGAGTTTTCATTACAAAACAGTACAAAGCAAACATATTTCATGAAAATATGTTACATGAACTCTCGAAAGAGTGTACTAACTCCTCTCATCTTCATATTGAGTATTAACCTAAGTAAATACAAGAAATATGACGAAAATTATTACGAATATTGATCAGGAATACCTTTGACGAGATGTCAAGCGTTATTTTAGATATTAAAATTATTATGTATAAGAGATAAGAGAGAAAAACATGATTAATGTAAATTCCAAGATAGAATATTCGTATATTTATTAATGCATATATTTTTTATACATATATATCTGTCACGCCTATTTTCCAGGTATGCATATTTATTGTTTTGTATAGCAAATTGGCTTCATTATAATTATCCTAAAGATTAGCTATTTGGTATACAATGCAAATCATATTAAGTTCGCATTTTTTTCTAGTTATTATGCCATAAAATCATAAAAATAAGAAGTGATAAATACCACTTTATATACATATCCATTAATAATATTTAATAAATATGCTTCATTCGCATCAAATTTTCATAATTATTATCATGTAATCAAAATAATCATCATGTAAAATAATATATTATTGAACACTATTATCTTGTAATACTCACATTAGAGATAAACAAAAGTAAACACAAAAGAGAGACAACTTTGTAAATCATCATAACACGATAATATCAAAACAGTGATGGACGTGAACTGCTGGCAAATGGCAAGGTGTTAAATAATAACTCTATTATGTACTTATGACCTCAACTACGTTACCATATTTGGATATCGTCACAGACATAGATTTAAATAGATATCGCAACTGCATGTTAATTTTCGGCTCCAAGTACTGTACGAAATAATGTACTAAAATTGTCAGTGGTAAATTTTGATTTAGGGTTCCTATATAAAATATAATAAAATTAAATAATTTTACTATTAAAAAATAAATAGATCACACAAATACCTTGTACAAACCAAACAGCTGCATCTAGTTCAAACTGAACTTCTTCTTGAATCTTGTACTATGACTACAAGAGAACGAGTAGGTATAGGTTCAATACCGCTAAAAGAAAAATGGAACCGTTATAGGATTACTTTATGTTCAGTTTATCTATCTGTATGTCAAGACCCTCTCTCTCTTTCTCAGGAACATGTGGAGGTATCAAACTGTAATTAATATCAAATACTCAAGTCTGCAATCCCTTGAAACTGCGAGTAATGAAACTTCTAAGTCATTGCATCAACAGATATAGCCGTTTATAGCATATATTTTGACATTTGTAAGGAAATCAAAACCTATAGAATACTTCTCATTAACTTAGAATCATAAAATTTAACAAGAAGCAATGTCGTAAAACACAAGTTAAAGGAAAAATCCGAAACCTATAAATTTGTAGTTACCTTTTTTATCGTAATTTGTATGATACCCTCGATGCGCGAGTTCCACTCCCACTTGGCCAAGTTTTTTTGTAAATAGATATTTACATAAGTGTAATGAAATTAAAATACCTACACACGTAATGTGATCTTTACTTGTAACTGTTTGTGCTTCTGATGAGTTCATTACTTCAATCTTTTGAAGGAAATAATAATAAGTATCTATGTGTTTACTTATTACACATAGTAAACACCCACATTAAAACAAATAGACATTCATGAATACAAATATTTATATTGTGCAAGGATAAAACTTACGACTATTATAAAATACGCCAATATGTGAAACCAATACACCATCAAGATCGTTAAAACAGCAATTTTGTCGTAACAAATTATTTATTTTACTCGGCAGTAAACCCTGTTGATTGCAAAAAGAACTGTCAGAGACTCTTCAAAATTTATGAAGTATTGATAAAAACAGCATTAAAAATTATATTCATATTTACTAAATCCTTTTGAATTTTCTATCCGCTCGTTTACTGTCAATAAATAGCTGTTGTCCTGATGTAAATTTAGTGGTATGCCAAGTTTTCTTCTTCTATAAGATCCGCTCCCATCAGAGATTAGACAACGTAAGGGTAATCTTAATTTTTGAAGCTGCCGCTGTAAAGAGCGATAGTGCTGTAGCAAAACCACTGCCGTAGGTTCTTCAGTCAAGAACGCTACCTCTTCCAAGCACTTCTTTTACCATCAATCTCACTTTAGGTGATAAATTGTAGTATACCGTACTTTTTCTTTTTCCTTTCCTCATGACGTGACCATAGTATGGATTTTTGTATGCTTAACAATGTTCTAAGCCCCAACTTTTTATTTTCTTTATACAGTCAGATATTGAAATCGGTTTATTTTAAGAAAATACTCTATTAGAGAGACCGAACATTGATCTCAAAGAAACGTAGAGAAGAGAATGATACAGATGACCTTGTCATGAATTTAGCTGTTAATTGAGAGGGTTACTGTTTTTTTCTTACATGTGCTTTTTTTTAAATTATTACATCCCTTTATATTGATATCCTCTATGTTAATGCAGCTATATATTTTTTAATGGGTGATAATGGAATGGATACCCCGCCTGTGCTATCAGTATACGCTGGTGGGACATCAGTGAGTGATGATAGGTGACGATAAAAGCAGGTTAGCCCATCGTGACGAATTCCACTAGAATTAATTCTAGGTCAACTTTATAGGCAACTTGCTGGCAATGGGTCAGTTAGAACCCATTACTAACAATCCCTTTCCCTCCGATCTATATATTTATAATATATATATAATTAATTACATTTTGAGACACGTTACATCGTGTACCGCTATTTGTGTGTTTGGAGAACATTTCATATGGACGATACAACACAAATATCGTATAATCGAATTTTATGATTTAATCCCAGACACGATTGCCGATTTAAATCATTTTATTCAATAAAAAGATTCGATTTCGATTCAAATTTATCCAATTTATTTATTTGTCTTATTGAATTTTATCTCATGTCGAAGAAATTGGAACTGAAACCTTGTGTAACAGCCACTTTTATATTTGTTATTGCGAATTTAAATTTCTTTAGAGGTAAGTTACAGTTTCTAGTATAAGAAATATATTTTGCAGTTTTAGCTTTAGCTTATTTTACACTGCAACATGCTTGATGCTTCATCAAAATTTAATTAAATCAAAATCATGTCGAATAATCGTCAAATTTAAGCTAGTCTCTATTTTATGCAACCTATTTTTTACCAGAGGGAGACTTTGTACAAAAGTCGATTGCTTGGGCACCTCTGTCCCATTCGTGTTTCAACCGTGAAGCAGTTGTGTTTGCATGGCTGTATTTCGGTTTGAAGGGTGGAGATATGGCGTAAATTTACAGGGTACAGAGGAATAACACCTGAGTCCTCAGGAATGGCAACGCATGGGGGTATCATGGGTGAAACAGTATACTCTGTTATGTCCATGGTACTGCTCATGCCTATAGGCGACGGTTACCACTTTCCATCAGGTGGGCCGTCAGCTTGTTTGCCATTCTAAGTTGTATAAAAAAAGAATAATTTCATTCCAATTCGATTGCATCCAAATTCGTACCGCAAGACATGCTTTTCGGCAAATACCTAATATTTAAACAAAAACAATACCGATAGGTAGTTGCCTAGTTTGAAAACTAGTTAATATTCAAACAAATCTGCATTGAAATCGATTCATTCGATTCGTCGTATTCGCATTGCCTGTTTATGATAATTGCACTGAACGGAACCTTGACACGTCGGATGTTACCGATCGAAGTTCACTTTACTATGTTTAAATGTGCATCATTTATTCAAATACTGTATAATTTTCTCTTTTATACAACACTATTATTAATTTTTATGTAAATACCACGATAGTTATGGCCACTAAAAATACATATATAATTTTAGATCCGTCCGACCCATTAAATTACCCAACTTTTAGAATTATCAGAATTACCAATAGAAACTATAAATAAATCAGTATTGTAATACTAGCTCGATTTATTAGAAGGTAAATTTTTACCATTAATAGTTAATAATTTAGGAAAACACCTACAATACATTAATAATTTAGAATTCTGAAATACAGGTTTACGGATTGAAAATATTTTAAAATATGAATCAGTATTGAAATAACCATCAGAGTTATCTGCAATTTAATATTTTAGATATATTCAAGACTGGGTTTCACCTGCGACTTCGTCTGCTTGACCGGGATTTCTTGATTGATCAGCATAAAATGCAGCCTTCTCCATCTTATTATAAGTGTGTATAACAAATTTCGAGACAATTGCTTTAATCGTTAAAGAGTCAGGAAGTAACAAACAAATTTTTAAATTCATAACTTCAATATGGATAATATATCCGAACATGAATGTTGTTTCATGTAAATTGTGATTTATTTACATAAACAGTGAAATTTTATAAGTAGTTATATTCTAATGCATAGAATATTACATATAATCATGCACATTATGTCATCATGTCAGCCTTAACCTGTGCGCTACTGAACAATAGGCCTCTACTTATTTTGGGCTTTGCCAGTAGTTACCACGCTTGGCAGGCAGATTGGCTACTGCAGTTAGGCTTTGGAGATGTTTTAAGGGGAACGCTCCTCAACCATTAAGTTCTCTTAGTCGCCTTTTATAACACCCATGGGAAAGGAATAGGTAGTCAATTCTATGCCAAAGCCACACAGCATAACCAAGCAATAACGAATATTATCGCCTACAGAGAAGGACATAAATTATTTATTATCCTGGTTACGTGAGGAGCATAATAAGTTACGTATTATTTGACTAAACTAGTTGTTATTTTGCGGAAGTTCATATCGCTGGTTAATTGATTAGAATTATTTTGTTTAATTTCAATACTGTATTAGTATGCGTGCAATGGCCAACATTTGAAGATTGACTAAACTATTTTTAATAGTTAAGTTACTTATTATTATTATTTTAGTGTTAAAAATAATGTCGCGAACACATTAACAGGGTAAAATATAACACACAACATAGAACATAACAGCAGCAAGGTAGATAAACACTTTGAAACAGAAATAGTGTAAAAATAGACTAATAAAAGGTTTTTTGGAAGAGATTGCTTATAGATAAGACATTTTATATCACTTTTCATTAAAATTCACTGTTTTTATTATATTTATAAATAGTACAATAAATAAATAAGTCAATAGACAAATAAAAAATAGAAATAAATATGTCTATAAGAGATGCAAAGAAAAATAAATGAAAAGATAAATAAATAGATGAATAAATGAAAGATAAATAAATTATATGTATAAAAGAACAAATAAATTATATAACAAGAAAAAAAGAACGATATTGAATGAACCATATGAAAAAATCCTTGATTGGAAATTCCCATTGTCATTGCATTGCCAAAAAAAATCACGAACTAAATGAAGTCCAGTAAATAAAAAGGATACATTGCATTTTTATACCTATATGTATAATACGTATTTAAAATTATAACAACTCATACAGTTATTTTATAATAGATTTATTGGCCATTGTCTATTGTTTATTATAAATAAATGATTATAATTCTTTAGTTCCATATTTAAATCAATCATTGGTTTCATACACAATGGATAATGGTGACCATTGCTTTTTTAGATAAACCTGTACGTGCCATTTACAGGTGCTTTACCAATCATTAATATCTTGAAGTGCGGTTCCCAACATTTATAGCTTTGAATCTGGCAGGCACATTATCGCCTTTACTGTACTGATTGTAGCGCTTAAAATGGCTTGGTCTATTTCAAGTTAAAATACAAACATATCGTAAAGACGTAAGGTCGTGTTATTTACAAGAACTAAAATTTGGCCGGTGGTTTTAAAATTATATTGACAAATTAATTTTTAGATTTGGTATTCTTGATGAAGATTGTCAATGGTTCAATTGATTGTTCTTATCTTCTATGTCAACTCCCTCTACGTATTCCAACCATACCTTTAAATGCAACCTTATTTCTTCCGTTTGTTTTCACTAACTATAGAAAAAAATAATATCTCTGGCCTGCAAGCAATAACTTTAATAAAATATCTAGAGTCTCGATTTTATTTAATTCTAAGATTGAATCCGCAAGACGTATTCTGAGTCAGTAATTCTTTAATAGTTCATCTTTGAACATGCGATTTCAACTTTTTATTTTGCACCTATAATGTTTGTACTACTATAATGTTGTCACTCTAAATTTAATTTAATTTAATTCGAATCTCTTTTAGAGATAAGCTCGCCCCTGTGCGCTATTATCTTTAATTGTTTTTCTGATACAATTATTTTTTGTATACAATAAAAAAATAAAGAATAATTTAGTTGATTGTAAATATTAGCGATATCATGTACATTTACTTAAATCATATTTTTATTTATAAAAACCTGTAATTGGCTTTTTGGCTTTACTGTCTTTTTTTCATTAAGACATTTTTTATCTGTTGGTTTTTCTTCAATAAACTAAAAATAAAATAAAAACATCAATCACATTTTCCGAATGTCATTTTTGTTACTTAAAATGAAGTTTCCAATATTGAGAAATATTGGAATTATACATACTTAAAGCTATGAAATTAGAAGATGAGAGGATACTTTATGCAAAATTGATCTGCTTAAATACTCCCACTGATGTTTCTGTCATAAAGCAATTGTACTTGCATGACTGTCTTTTAGTTTAAAATGTCGCTTCTAGCTGTGAAATATCAGATATAGAGGCATAATATCTATGTCCTCAAAACCGGTACCGCATGAGAGGTACCTCATGTATTACATGAGCGTCTAAGTGTACTCTCTTACGTTCATGGTGCTATGGATGGCGTTTATAGGTTACCACTCATCATCATCATCATATCAGCTTTTAACCGTCCACTGTTGAACATAAGCCTCCCTCTTCGGGGTGTTTCGCCAGTAGTTACTACGCTTGGCAAGCGGGTTGGTAACCGAATTTAGGCTTTGTTGTTGAGATATTTTAAGACTGACGTTCCTTAGTCGCCTCTTACGACACCCACGGGAAAGGAAGGGAGCGGCCTGCTCTATGCCGGGACCATAAGGCATACGTTACCACTACCGACTAATATCAGGAGTGGCAGATAGTTTTGTTAAAAAAAAAAAACAGATTTTACTTGGAATCAAAAGTAATTATTATAATTTTGTTACTTTGTATCAATGTACATTTAATAAAAACCAAAAAGCGAAAACTGGGAACTACGTTAATTTATAACGATAATAAATAAATAATCACAATATGTTTTCAATAGTTATTGACTACGAATTTAATAGACATTTATTTCTCGAAAATTATTTCACAATTTTATGTTTTGTAAAAATTCCACAATGATGCCACTGGCAAAACCAGGCAGTATTAAAACACCATTTTAATTATTGGGCAAATAAATGACACGACTATTTGGACTATCGCTAATAGTTTGAGCTGAAGTATCTTGTGTTTCGAGTCCTGACCCTTTTTTAATTTCTATAATTTCTATTTCACCATTCGAGTAATCTGAATTTTTCGGAGAATTACTTTCACTTGCTGTGTCCGTAGGTGCCACGTCTTCACTCAGAGAGGCGCTTATTAATATATCATTGAACTAGAACAAGATTTTATAAAAACATATAAGTATAAAGTCACATTTTTTTAAATTGTACACTTTTTTACAATGAAAAATACATTACTTACAATTTTATTTTAATAGTAAGTTAGTAAGATAAGATCGCTGTTACTAAATTACAAATATAGAAAACTTACCGTGGCATCCATGCTGTTCATTAACTTGCAGAAATATGATTCTTCTGAAAGAGTTACAATATCATCGTTACTTGCTGAATAGAACAGTAGTTCTATAAATCTGGCAACTCTCTCCAATATTTTACCGACATGTTGACCAATTGTTGGTGTGTACTGTGTATATAATATGGATTGATGTGACTGCAATTTAAAGTAAAAAAATTATAAACTTGACCTTAACTGAAAAACAAATGGATACAAATATATTTTTACTTTAAACAATAACTAACTCTGAAAAATAACTGGGGTTTTAGTAATTCAGTTATATGTACGTACAATGATAGAAAATTTAAAAAAACCATTAGATACTGTTCTTTGACAACCCCGATCCAAAAAACAATAAGTAATTTTAAAATAGATCCACAAATGACCAATCAATCGATAGGCATACAAAAAAATATACAGTTGAACATAAAACCTCCTCCTTTTTTGAAGTTGGTTAAGTATCACGTGTTTAGAAATATATTTTGATTTTTACTTAAAAATTCATTTATTCATATACTATCGGTCTCATACCATGTTTCACTGGTAACTTTTAACATTAGTTCAACTCCTAGAAATTACTTTAAAAAAATACTAGAATATTGGGAAAAGACATCATTATAAAACGTACTAATTATTAAAAAAAAAATGCAAATACGTAAGATATGAAAATATAATAATGAATACATTAGCAAAAAAAATATAAAAAAAAATATTATAAAAACTTTGATTTTAATTGTATGAGTTACTTATATAGTCAACATATTTCATATGTTTTAATAGAAACATCAATAATGTTTCCTTCTATTATTGTACGCATACTGCCCGCTAATAAATAATTAATGCTCCTTTCCACTTAGGGTTTGCTGGAAGAGAACTCTTACAGAGTTAAGCTCGCCTATTGTACACCTTTATTTTATATATACTATATGTCATATTTTTTTGTGTACAATAAAGCAAGAATAAATAAACAATAAAAAAATAATGAAATAAAATATGATAGATTCACTTACGACATGGAATAAAGATATGAGGCAAATAAACACCCCTAAAATTATTTTAGCCATATTGATAATGCACCCGTTGGCTCTTGAAAAACAAATTTGACTGATTGATGTATTATTAAGATTTATGTTAGTTTAGACGTATATATAGATAAATACTAAAAACAACGTGACTCGGGAAAATAACGTTCTGTTACAATAAAATATATTTAATAGATAATAAATTCGGAAAATTATAGTTTAAGAGCTGCAAATGTAAAAAAAAAAAATTTCTATTATTTATTAAAATAACCGTTATTACTAATATCACAAATGTAAAAATGCACTTTATGGATCTTCAGGATCTCAAACAATCATCATTAAATAATACATACATACATACATATCTGTTACGCCTGTCACCCATTAGAGTACGCCAAATGCTTCGATTTAAACAAACCTCTTTCACGCTCATCAATCTGTTCATACTATTAAATAACTATACGCCAATATGTAATATTTAGCTAACTTATTGTAAGGAAGTTCTCATCTAAATTTATTTTTTATTTTTTCTAAAACAAAATATTTCAAGATTGATGCCTGAGATAACATTTGTTTTCATATGACTGTGTAATTTAGTTACAGATTTCTAAACTAGTACATCGCAGCATGATATCATACCATAATGTTTTACTGAAAAAAGTCATGTTATTAATAACATTTAATACTTCTATAATATTATGCTTTACTAATGGAATACCTACGACCTTATTATTCGTGTTGACTATTTTATTTGTGCGTAGTTTTGTGTGCATATTTTTGTGTATATGTTTACTTATTTAAATAAATTGATAGTAATTCAAAGGTCGACTTAAATTTTCTGAGGTCTGTTGATATTCTACCTTATACATACCTAGTAATATATATATATATATATATATATATATATATATATATATATATATATATATATATATATATATATATATATACAATATGAACCTCTGAGCCTGAGACTGTGTTGTATATACACATGATACCAATTAGTAGGTAGTAGTAGGTAAATGCAAGGCCCAGTTAATAAATGTGTAATTATGAAGACTCATATTTGTGTCCAAATTATTACCAATAACGGTGATACTTTTGTAAATATTTCTGTGAATTTTATGTTAAATTTTTTAATTTAAATATATCAACTCATTGAAAAATATAAAAAATTATATAAATTCTTGTATACACGTTATCCCTTATTAAAGCATTAATAACGTAAAAAATTTATTACATTCGTGAAATGCTAATTTTATTAGCATAACAATTAAATATTGCAGTACATAAAACATTCCTTCGTGAATTATTATTGCCCATTCAAATTAATAATCCAAGTAGATATATATATACATAATATTACCGAAACGTGACGGACTTGATGATAATTATAATTAACTTGTTCAAACAAACATGTAGTCGTAGATAAGCTGTCCCTTCGTACTGAAGCTAACGTAATTACAGAATAATATGTTCTATGTTAGATGTATACTGTAATATTACATTAGTTGGAACTAGCTTTTATCCAAGACTTCGTCCGCATGGCCGCAGATCAATGGGGGGAAGGGATTGTTAGTAATGGGGAGGTTAGTTCCCATTGCTATCAATACATCTTATCAGGTCGACCTCCACGCGTTTCCCCCTGGGAACTATCGTAAATAAACTTTCAGCTAAGAGGACTTTTTTCCATTAGATGGGACATCATCTTTTCCAACTTTCCATTCCGATTTACATTATAAATAAAAAAAAAACTATATAAGAGAAAAGGGAAAAATATAATTCGATTTCAGTTTTTTTTTCTTTATGTGTTTAGGTTACATAATAGTTTTATTTAAAGAATTATGATTTCACATAATTTTTTTGTCAAAATCAAAATCAGTTCTTTAAAACACAATTACTTATTATGTTCTACAAAAACGTGTCGTTTACCATATATAATATATAGGACCCTAATTACCATATTTGTTTACATATAGGCTAATAAAAAAATATATTAACAAAAAATATTATAGTTTTGTTATATAAATAGTTTTGTTTACATTAATATATTTCAATTTTTATTGTATTTTTATTTTCATTAACTCGTTGATTCAAATAAATATATTTTCCAAATGACATTTACAAAATGGTAGTAGACAACAAAAATATAAAAATGCGATAGCACACGTTTTTGTATATTAAACCCTTTTAATATTTTAGCAGTCCCCGGCCCTATTTACTTAGGATCCTTCTAATGTTGTTAAGCTGAAATCTTTTAGTCACCACACCCTCTGTAAAAGGAAAAAAGTAAGAGGATAGGAAGAAAAGAAAGTGCATAATAGTGTAGGCATACAAAAAATTACACTTTCAAAGTACCTACAACGTCTCTCGTAATCTCAATAGTTTATCCCCTAATCAAATAAGTTATTAAATATTTCGTTCTACTTTAATAATATTTTATTGAATCGTGAACACATACTAATATCATAACTAGTGTGTTCAACTTAAAAGCAGGGATGAAGATAAGAGAGAATTGTGAGTAATACATACTAACAGATAATCTCATTGCTAGCAGTAAACACTGTGAATATAAATATTAATTCCTGGTGAATCTGACTTCAACATCACCTATCATACCTAATTCTACACTGTTAACGTAAACCAATAGCACAGCTGAAATTACAATTCCATTTTAATAGCAGACGGGTACAAAAGTCGCCCACACGGATACCTCTATCCCACTTAATTTTCTGCCGTGAAGTAACTTCAGTTTGAAAGGTGGGTGTTTCATGTCTAGGAGTATTTTTTCTTACAACACAGAGGGCAAACGAGCATGCGGCTCACCTAATGGTAAGTGACTACCGCCGCCCATGATCACCCGCAACACCAACGGTATTGCAGGTGTGCTGCCAACCTTTTAAAAGAATAATTAAGAAGTATAGGCAACGGTTACTAATTTCTAATAAGTAGCAAGGATCGTCATATTAAGTATCTTAAAAAATCACATGAAAAGCCGAAGTAAACTCGACGAAAATAACGCGTGGGATATTTAATGAACTGCACCCATTACATGCGTGTCATATATAATTTACAAATAAATCAAGCACATTGAAGCTTTATTATGAAGTGAAAATGCCACAGATAAAAATGTACTTCATATCACACGATCCACTTTTACAAATCTGTGTTGATAAAAATAGGATTATTTGTCGACCATCGGAAGTGGGATGAAAGGGACATAAGAAGCGATAAACATTGAAGAGATATTCCAAACAGGCAACAAATACGAACCGTTTTTCACGCCCAACGCACTCCTCTCCCGTCGAGACCGATCGACGCTTTAATAAAATTCTGAGAATTCTGAACTATATATATGTAAATATACAATATTTGTTTGTGACACTTTTTAAATATTTCTTCACGGCAGCTAAGTTGTTTTTGAATATTATTCTTTGAATAAACAATGAGATAGTCGTTTAAAAAGAGAATAGAAAATAATTTTTAATCAAATAAACTTGAACAAGTATTTTAAATTGTATATTTTCATGATTCTTTAATAACTCTCAAAACACTTGTTCTTTTGAAATAATAATTTCTGACTTTTAATTTTAATTAGATATGATAATTATCACACAGTTATACGTACGAGTATAATGTTACAAATAGCTTTAATACGTGTATATCGTTTTTTATTTATATAAAATTCTTATTTATAATATAAAGTAAAACAAACAAGATTTTACAACTTCAATAATCTTGAACAGACTAGTCTATTACATCATTGTAAGTATTTTAATTAATTGTTAATTCCATTTTAATTAAAAATGTGCGATCTGGCTACTGTGCTACACTATCGTAACATTGTAATTTCAATTGAATCAACAGCAGATCTTTTCCGAAGCAGGAAATAGATTTTATTTTGTTCCCAGACTCAATACTTGGTATGTTACACAAATAAACGGTCCGATGTGAAAATAGAACGGAATCGCTCCACTAGGTCGGCTGTGTCGTATAGGAAATGTCTACAATCTAGACGAAAAGAGTTAAAATATCATAATAAATTACATGGACTCATATCCGTAAATAAACCGATCAATTTCAACTGTTTGCTGTCAGGGAACGGGTACGGATTTGACATTTTTTCCATTTTAATGTTGTTGGCTGTAGATGGCCTTTACAATTTTACTGCGTGAGTACATACAAAGGGCATCACAGAGGAGAGCAAATCCGCGAACAAATTTACGGAATGATTGAAGTCCAACTACGACCTAATGGTTCAAACTACTACGACGTTAGCTTAAGAACGCCTATAGCTCGGACCTCAGTTTTGATCATCGTACTTCCATCGCCGTGAAATGGAATCATTTAATATTTCGCACCTGTCGTCCTGGAGATGAGAGCACCTCTTTGTTCTATCCTATCAAAAGAGGGAAGGGTCCAAATTTTCAAAACAAATACATTTTACTTTACAGAAAAAGCAACATCAATCATGGCAAACGTACATACACACACTAAAAATCTATACCAATTTCCGATTTATTATTTGGTAATAATAGACAAGGTTAATAAATTTAATTATTCCCACAGTTGTCAGTATTTGCGCTCAGCCTCGTTGGATTCACATATTCTCGGCAAAGTGTGTGCACAGAGGGGTATCCTACTGTGGAATAAATTGTAGAACATTGGGGAATGGGGAATAGACCACATTCACCACAACGGCAACAAAATACCTTTGATTGCTCCTTTCCTTTGTAGAATTAGAATCGTAAGTATTTTTCGTTTAAATCAATGTTGCTAACATTACTTATATTAGTAATATTGATAAGAAATAACTTATCATAGAATCGATAAATTATGAAACATTGATCATATACTATAAATGGAGTGTTTATTATCAAAAAACGGTCAGACATGTTGTTAGCATTACGAGTATTATTTCATACTGTTTATTGTATTTGTTTTCATAGTGTCTTAAACCTTGAATACATAATATTAAAATTGTAGTAAATAATAATAAAATCTTTTATCGTTATGAACATATTTTATTTAATTGCATGTGTAAGTATATTATTATATATATTATATAAGTATATGTACAAAAATACTTAACATATAC